TTCTCAAGTCAAGACCCCACTGTACCGTAGGGCCCCTCCATCTGCAGAAGATTGCTTCTGAGCCCCCTTGCGGATGCTGGAAAACACGGATTATAGTGAACGCTGTACACAGCATAGTTTTTGGCTTCCCCCTAGTGGCCAATTCTGGCAATGACATCTTGGATATACTGTACATGTACACAGTACAGTACTGTATAGTTTTTGAGTGAAGCCTATGCATAGCATGGTCTCTGGTTCTCTCTAGTGGCTGGTTCTGGTAATGACATTGTGGAAATATATTTCTCTATACATAGTATGGTTTCTGGCTCTCTCTGGTGGCCGGTTCTGTTAGTTCCATCTTTAAAAATATATATTTCTAGGATTTTTCTTTTAATTTTTTCAATATTTTCAGATCATGGTTAAGTGAATCAGTGGATACTGAACCCACAGCTTTGGGGGCCTTATTGTACCTCCTTGTGATTGGCCCAGGGGCCCAGTCTTCTGACACAGAAAAAAGCCCAGGGAAACAGGGGAAGACGGACGGTTGGTAAGTTACACCTTGCTGAGGTAAGAGCAGGCCTACTAGAGCCGTGAGAATGCCTGAGGGTTGGATCCCAAAAGATCTCCTGTATGGAGAATTAGTGCAGGGATATCACCCCAGAGGGAGACCACAGCTGTGATACAAAGAGATATGCAAGCGGGATCTGAAGGCCTTAGGAATGGACCTCCACTGATAGGAAACCTTGACCTCTGAGCGCTCAGTCTGGAGGCAGGTGGTGCATCATGGCCTCTCCCAATTGGAAGAGACCCTTGTCCAGCAGGCCTAGGCAAAGAGGCAGTCCCGAAACAAGCAAAACTAGGGAGCTGGACAGGGGACAGATTGGATTTGTCTTCAGTGTGGAAGGGATGGTCACTCTCGAATTGGCTTTCTCAGCCCCACGAGATGCTGTTCCAAGTCCTCTATTCAGAGCATGTCACCATTGTCTCTTGAGACTGAAGGATGCCTAATCACTAGAGCCGTGGTAGACAAGGCTCGTGGCCCACAAGCAGAGGAGCAATAGTTAGTGGCCTACCCCAGATGGTTGTTGTGAGGATAGAGAAGTGCCCTTTATGCTGCCTTGACTGGAGAAAAGGATATGCAGATGTCGGGTAAAGGCTAGGAAAGGGCCCCATCCCCTAGACAAGCCAGTAGTGGACTGTGTTGGTCATTACGGGTCCCCTGCCAGTGGCAGCTGCACTCTGGTACACTTTTCTGTGGCAAGGTGCCGTCCTTCCGAGAGGTCTCACCTGCCCACCAGGAGGCGCCGCTGGGTCATCAAGGATGCCACCTCTGCCTGTCTCTTGCCCTGGAGCAGCTGCAGGGCATGGGCTGCGGTGCCCTCTCCCGTGGCCAAGAGGTCATGGGGGGCCACGGCAGGGTCCCCCTTGAAGGTTTGAGTCCCAGAGCTGGAGAGAAAGAATGCCACATATTTTCATATCTATAAGAGGTATACAGAGTGGGCTTTTCTGAAGAAAAAAACGAGGAGGAGTCCACATGAAGCTTCTGCGAGAAGAACCACATTTGTTTTCAATGAGGGGATCTGGCGAGTTGTGTTCTGGAAAAAACAACAACACAAATCTGGATTTCTCTGCTTTGAACCCTCAGGTTAAAAAATAATGATTAAATAACCTTTTCGGAAGTGAGTTGTACGGCGTGTTCTCATCCCATCAGAATCCTAGTACCTTCAGGGTTACCAGTAAGGTTAACAACCTCGTTGCTTTTCCGATGTGCCATCCAGTCAACCTTGACTTAGGGTGACCCTATGAATCCACGGTCTCCAGAGGGTCCTTTCCTCAACAGCCCTGCTCAGCTCTTGTCAATGCAAACCCTGTGGCTTCCTTTAGGGAGTCCGTCCATCTCGTATTGGGTTTTCCTCATTTCCTACTGCCTCTCACCTTTCCAAGCATGGTGGTCTTTTCCAGAGAATCCTGCCAAAGTAGGGCAGCCTCAGTTTCAGATTTTTTTTTGCCTCCAAGAGACCATTGAGGCTGGATTTTATCTAGAGCCCCCCTTGTTGGTCTTTCTGGTCACCTGGGGAATCCACAAAGCTCTCCTTTGGCACGACATTTCAAACAAATCAATATTTTCCCTGCCTGCTTTCTTAACTGTCCAGCTTTTACACCCGTGCCTGGTGATTGGAAATCTAATCAACAAAGATGATCGGGGACTGGAAACCAAGCCCTCAGAGGAAAGATTGAAAGATCTCTTCTCCATTATCCCAGAATACAATCCTCCTTTAGTCTGAATATTAGGAAAAACTTTTCAACTGTCAGAGCAGCATGACAGGGGAACCCATGACCTCAGGTGGAGGGAGTGAGCACTGCAACATTGGAGTTATTCAAGAGAAAATTGGACATCTGTCAGATCTGCTTTGAACTGGGTTCCTGCCTTGAGCAGGGGGTTGGACTGGATGGCCTTAGAGGATCCTTCTAACGTCATTATTCTAGGATTCTATGATAACAGTGTGGATGATCTTGACCTTTGTCTCCAGGGGAAAATCCTGACACTTGAGGATCTTTTCTAGTTTCTTCATTGCTGCCCTTCCGAGTCTCAGTCTTCTGATTTCTTTGCTGCCGTCTCCATTTGGATTCGGACTGATGACTGAACCAAGGAAAATAAAATCTCTAACCACTTCAATGTCGTCATTGTCAACATCGTTTGTTCTGTAGTCACGATTTTGGTCTTCTTAACATTCAACTACAATCCTGCTTTGGCACTTTCTTCTTTCCCTAACCGTCATTTCAAGTCTTTGCTGATTTTTGCCAGTAAAACCGAGTCATCCGCATAGGTTAAACCACTGATCTTTCTTCCACCAGTTTTCACTCCTCCTTCGTCTGAATCGTACAGCATTGGGACTAGAGTTATTGGAAGGATTTCACATAGACGCCTTGCATTTCCCCAAACCAATGAGAAATTCTAGCTCATAAGCCCCCCCACCTTTGGAAGGGAGCCTGGCTACTGACCGCCAGCATCTGTCTCTCCTGCCTGTATTTAACCAGAAATGGGGACATGGCTCTTTTTTTTTTCATCTGAATAGACTACACTGAATGGGATGGGGGAAAAGTACATCACTGGCAAAACACAAGGGGTTCATTGGGCTTATTTTTAAAAGTGATAATCCAACTGCTATAACTGTACAGTATTCACACACACACACATGCACACACACACACACACACACACACACACACACACAGTGGCTTCCCTCTGCTTCAGCCAGGTCACCCCAGTATTCTGAAACTGGGGGGTGGGGGACTGTATTCCTTCAGCAGCCTAACGCCAACAAACTTCCAAAACCTCCTAAGATGGGGACATCTAAGTTGGACCAACCCAGGATCAACTCTTTCCGAGCCAGGCCCTTGCTGTGGCCAGGGGAGTACCTAAGAGGGTGGAGGGCCCCCGGCAGGCTGTTCAGGGACAACAGGCTCCCCTCGCGCAGGCTGAAGTCCACCAGCATCGCCAGCTCTGATAGCTTGTCCTCCTTCTCATTTGGCGACAGAGAATCCCAGGCTGGCTGCCCTGCAAGAGAATCCAGGAGCCCTGAGAGGCCGACGTTTGGGGAGGGTGGACGGAGAGGTCCCGCTCAGCTCTCCCTCACCAGGGGAAATGGCTCTGCTTTCTGGAGGGCGGGGTGGGGGGCTGTTTTCAGCCTGGGATGTCCAGAGCGAGGCCAGGTTGGGCCACAGGTTCTAGGGAGGAAGAGCAAAAGCAGACAAGGACACCCCCCCCCGGGGAAGTCCACCGCAGGAGAAGTGGCGCTCCTGTCTAGCATAATTCTCCCCAGAGCAAAAAGAGGGGAATCTCACGACCTTGGCCCGTCACAGCTCACCATAATGCGCCTGCAACATCTCGGCGCAGAGCCTCCTCCGAAGCACACGGTATTTGCGTTCCAGCTCTGCCACCGTTCCCGAAAACTGCTCCCCAAGCGGGGCGGCGAAACCTCCCGGGTCCCACCTGCAGAAGACAAAGGCACTGCTCTGTGCCCAGCCACCGCCTGGCAGACGTTTTCTGCAGCTCCTCGCTTGAGATTGGCCCCAGCCAGCGCCCTGACGGATGCTGCCATGGGGCATTTCGAGATCCTCTCCCACTTTTGTAAAGCTCTGATCCCATCCACGCATTTAGGTCCTGTGCGCTCGGGGCCACGACGTCTCCTTAGTGGCACTAGCTGCCCACCACCTTCCTGGGGCCACGACGTCTTAGTGGCACTAGCTGCCCACCACCTTCCCAGGCCCATGCAGGATTGAACATTTTGGAAAGGAGGTCCCCGCTTTCCCTCCATCCGTGGTTTAGGCGTGGCTCCTTCCCTGCAGCCAATTTTGCAGGTTGGATGCGACTCACGAACGGCAGGTCGAATCGTGGTCGTTGAGCCTTTCCCTTGCAGCCAGGCTCCTCCCACCTCCAGCCAGTGCTTTGCCACGTCCCACCAAATGGGGTTCTGTTCCTGGAGTGCCACATTAGTGGGATTAATCTGTGGCTTTCTCTTCCCCCCCCCACGGATGGGAACGAGAGCACGGCCATTCCAAGACGATGTCCCCCGCGAAAGCCCACAGCGTGGCAGGCTGCTGTCCAATCTGGAATCCTGTGTCCAGTTCTGGACACACTTTCAAGAAGGATGCTGACAAATTTGAGCAAGTTCAGGGGAGGGCGACCAGGATGATGATGACGGGGCTGGAACCCAAGCCCTGCGAGGAAAGACTGAAAGAACTGGACATGGACAGCCCTGAGAAAATAAGTCTGAGGAGAGGTATGATAGAACTGTCCGAAGACTTGAAAGGTAGCCCTACAGAGGAGGAGCAGGATCTGTTCTTGATCGTCCCAGAGTTCAGGACATCTAAGAATGGGTTCGAGCTACCGGAAGTCAGATTTAGGCTGAATAGCAGGAAAAACTTCCCAACTGTTAGACCAGTACGACGATGGGAACCAACTGGGAGGCGGTGAGTGCACCAACACTGGAGGCCTTCAAGAGAAATTTGGGCAATGGCCAAATTGAATTTTATTCCAGCACAGAGCAGGGGGTTGGACTTGATGGCCTTAGGGGCCCCTTCCGACTCCATGATCCTGTGATTGCATGACTTACCGTTCAAGGAGTGGTTCCGTCTGTCTTCTTGCACCCCAGAGAGGCAGAGGGGTGCTCACCTGGCTACCAGCACCCTTCAAGACACCAAAGTCAGTGAGTCAGTGTGGCGTCTGCAAGATGAACTTTATTTCAAGCTTCAAAAGCACTTCCTGGTGCAGACCCGTGAGATCCTGAGGCAAATGACTCAGGATTTTTCGTCTCTCTGTACAAACGAGCCCAGCATCTAGAGACGTCGTAGGACAGAGGCGAGGGACACCGTAAAGCATTGTGCCATTTTTATAACACAAGGAGCCTTTTCCTCCTGGGACTCTTGCTTTTCTGGCCCATTTCCCGTACTTTGGTGTTGCCACATTGCCACCAAAGACGGGACCCTTTGATCCAGAGATTCTGAGTGGCCAATAGCAAGGACCCCAAAATCCTATTTTCAGTTGTGGGCAGGAGACGCTCAAGACTGGCAGGAGAATTTGGCCTCTCTGCAATAATGCTTATTCAGTGGGACAAAATAAATAATATTCTGCAAATCTTAATCACAAAAAGGAAATTCCCCCTACGACCAAGCTATCACCGTTGATGTACCTCTTCTATCCCAAAGGCAAGCTCAGTACCTGGTGGGTTACCTCTTGGACAAGAGATCCCTTCGTCAAAGTGTGAAAGGAATTAGTTACGAACAATGTAATTACCTCTAACTAGTTACTTCTTGTGTACTCTGGGTGTCCTTGTGGATAAAAGGAGGAACAGGGTTCAAATCGCCTACCTGCCCGCTGTAGTAACTCCTCCTTGAATGTGTGCCGGCTCCATCGGGAGGCAGCGGGGGACCCCGGGAGAGCCAGTCCTTTGGGGAATAGAAGCAGGGATGGGGGACCAGGTGGGAGGAAGTTTAGCTGTGCTGACATGGACAAGATCCTTACCTTTCCTTCTCTCTTCCCCCCAGCCGACCACAAATTTCCTCCAGACCTGTTGGTCTGATAACTAACCCCTGCCTATTCTTTGCAATAAGGATGGGATTCCCGTTCCCTCCCATAACCAGCCACCCCTCAACCTAGAGCCTTCTGGATGGAGTGAGCCACAAACCCCATCATCCCCATTAAACCGTGTCTCCTCCAGAGGGGGCTTGCCTGGGTTCTCTCAAACAGTGTGTACGCAACCCTCGGTGAGGTGTGCATAAAACAGAACAGAGTGTCTCTTCAGTGTCACTTGCCCCAGAAGCCGGGGCAAGCGTGGGGGAGCCATAAACCCCATCGTCCCCCTCCTCAGTGGTTCTCCCTGAGTTGCTGCCTCTTTGAAAGTTGCATCCGGGACGGGGCCCCAGGAAGTTTTAATAAACGTCACTGAAGCCCTTCTGGCTTCGGCTGTGGGGCTCATCTCCATACTCTAAAAAGAGGGCTGTCTGCAGAGCGTCCCTCCGTCGGCCTGCAGCGATGAGCGAGCCCTAAAAAAAAAAGGCTTCTTCTTTCCTGCTTCCTCAGGGGGCTGGACGTGATGACCTTCCAGGTCCCTTCCAGTTCTGGTGTTCTATGATCCCTTGGTCTGCCTCAAAGGCACTGCACAAGCACTAGGGCTTAATTGACTCTGAAGCATCTAAATGTCCCTGCTCAGCTTCCTCCTTTACCACTGGCCCCCAGCCCCCCCCCAGCCTCTCAGCTGCCCATCCGATACCTCGATGTCCCTCCAGGCCACGCCAGGCCTGCGGCTCTGGAGGAACCGTTGCCCGGCCTCTCCCGTGGCCTGTGCCCCCGGAACCTGGGCCAGCAAAAGCTCAGCCTCTCGGGAGGAGAGGTAGCCGTCGTGGTCAGAGTCCAGAAGCTGGAAGTCCCAGAAAAGCTGGGGAAGGGGGGGGGAGAACCATGAGGTTATTTTTTAAATTAATTTTTTCAGAGTTATAACATTTTGGACGCTTTCCACAGGCAGCCCCACGTAGAGTGTGTTACAGTCGTACAGCCGGGAAGTAACTTGGGCACGTGTCTCCGTGGCCAGATCACATCTCTCAAGAGATGGACGTTGCAGGCGCACTAGTTTTAATGGTGCAAAATGCACTCTTGGCTTTGGCTGAGACCTGGGCATTGAGGTTCCGGGATGAATCTAGTAGGGACCCCATCCAGCACAGGCTGCATCCCTATTCCCTTGACCTGCCTTTCGACTGACCAAGAGCCCTTCCGTCTGGTCTGGATTAAATTTCCATTTATTCACCCTCACCCAGTCCATTCCTGATACCGGACACTGATCTGGACTGGAAACAGCTTCCTCGGATTCAGGGGACACTGATCTGGAGCGGAAACAGCTTCCTCGGATTCAGGCGGCGAGGAGAAGACAGAGTCGGGTGTCACCTGCATACGGGTGATGCCGAAAACCAAGACTTTGGACAGCCGCTCTTAGCGGTTTCATGATGTAGATGTTAAATAACATGAGAGAGAGAAAACAGAAGCTTGAGGGACCCCACCGGCCAGCAGCCAGGGTGTCGAACAGGATTCTCCCACCACTACCTCAGTAAGGGCGTCTACGATTAAAGAGTGCAAAATCTCTCGGCGATACAATACGAACCTGGAATTATTTTGTCACCTGTAACAAGAACAGGCCTCTGGGATTTGCCCTGCAAGGTGTGTGATTTTGTTGGCCTTTAAGGGAAAACCTATGGCCTGGGGGTGTCTCCCACGGGGGCTCGGACAGCCTCTGCTTACCTGCAGCTTCAGAGAGCACCTTTGCCCTGCTTCCGGCAGGACCTCCGAGAGAACGTCTGAGCAGCAGCCGCCCCACGGTTGCCCCCCAAAAACCTGTGCAAAAGCGGGAGAGGCCGGTCAGCAGCATCTTTCTGGTAGGGAAACCCCCGGTTCTTCAAGGGGCTGCTCTTGTGAGGTGGCTACAGGGGAAGGGGAGCTTTCCTCCTTTCGTATTCCTGAATGGCAGGAAGGTTTGCTGTTTCTAGCATTACTCCGGTTGCAAAAATAAATTGTGGTATTATTATATTTTTTGCAGCTTTCTGTTGACCTCCCCAACTGGTCAGGGAGGAAAAAAAGAAATCCCTGTTTCCCTCTAGTGGCCAGTTCTGGTAAATTCAGTGTAGGCATCCTTCGGTCCAGAGAGATGATGGTCACCTGCTCTGTATGGAGGTCTTGGAACAGCGTCTAGAGGTGGCTGAGAAGGCCAATTCGAGAGTGACCATCCCTTCCACACTGAAGACCAATACAATCTGTCCCCTGCCCAGCTCCCTGGTTTTTCTGCTTTCGGGACTGCCTCTTTGCCTCGGCCTGCTGGACAAGGATCTCTTCAAATTGGGAGAGGCCGTGATGCAATGCCTGCCTCTAGACTTAACACTCAAGACGTCAAGGTTTCCCACCGGTTGAGGTCCATTCCTAAGGCCTTCAGATCCCGCTTGCGGATGTCCTTGTATCACATCTGCGGTCTCCCTCTGGGGCAATTTCCCTGCACTAATTCTCCATTCAGGAGATCTGGTAAATTCACCTTTCAAAAATATATGTATTTCTAGGACTTTTAAAAATATTTTAAATATTTTCAAACCATGCAAAAGGCAACCAATGGATGCTGATTGCACGGCTATGGGGGTCATGCTGGATATAAAATAACTCAAGAGGAAACAGAGGGAGGAGAGAATTGCAAAGATAGCTGAGGACAACCATCTATGCTACCTTGTGCTCATTGGATGCAAAAGCCAATAATGCACACCAATAATAAAATACTGAGTAAATAAGACCTCAGCTAGTATCTTTTCCAGGTAATCATCTTTCCTCCTAATGTCTCATAACCAGGATTATTAACTCAAGGCATATAAAGACATAATCAGACATACACCCCCCCCCAAAACAGACGCATCGTATTGGATGACACCCATTTCGTGAGGGTTGTGGAGCTGCTCTGGCTTTTTGCTTAAACTTCAGCTCCAACCAAAATAGGTTTGGCACCTGGGACGGAGTTTTCAGGTTCGGACTAACATCTGGAGTGGAGCAACCACCCTCCGACATTGAAGTCACTACTGCGTCATCCCTTCGAGCACATCCCGCAAGCCCCCCACCCCCAATCGGTTAAATAGGCTGCATGAATCGAGGTTTATCTCTGACTGCCAGGCGCAGGGAGGGGAGTTTCTCCCCGGCTTTGCTCAGGGAGATCCAGAAGCTTCCAGCTGGACCCTGGTGGAGACCGTGTACAGGATCAGCTCCACCTTGGGGAGGTCTGGTTCCCCAAGGAAATTCTGCTTTCTGGTTTCTCCACCCTTCCTGACGTTGCCACGCTCTGGGGATATAGTATTACGAGGGTCGGGTGCTCAGCTTTCTCACCTGATGCACGGCGGCCGCCAGCCGGGCCCTCTCGGTCGGTGTCTGGAACGGCCCGTGCTGGAGACCGGACGGATCCTCCGGGCTGGATCTTTGGGCGGCCATTGGTAACGGCTGAAGGCAGCTCTCTCTCCAGGGAAGGAAGCCAGAACGGACCAGCGTGGCTGAACATGCAGACAGAGTCAGACGGATTTATGTGACCTCAGNGGTGACAGGCCCCTAAATAAGGACCTCTTTCAAAACAAAAACAAACAAACAAGCGAGCGAGCAGAAAACCAGAACCAAACCGACTCGCTTTCAGGAGGTGCAGCCCTGTCCGCCTTCTGAAATAAAACATACAGATGTATTCTTGAAGGCTTTTCAGGGCTGGGATCCGATGGCGGTGGTGGGTTTTTCGGGCTCTTTGGCCGCGTTCTGAGGTTCTTCTTCTTAATGTTTCGCCCGTCTCTGTGGCCGTGGGCATCTTCAGAGGACAGGAGTGAGAACTCTGTCTGTGCTCTGGTGCAGTTTTGCTGGATACGGTCCTGCCAACTGCACCAGAGCACAGA